GCTAGGGAGACAGCCACAGGCAGAGGTCTGCTCCTGGGGCCCCCAGTCCTGGAAGGGGACCTGATCGTGGGAAAGCAGAGGGATCCTAAGGTTGCACTTTGCCGATGGCACTGCCTGCTGGGGAATCTGGAGACGGCAATGAAATTCTACAGGAGATGAAGCTGGAAAATTCTACCCTTTTGCTCCTCAGCCTGCAGACAGCTTGATGGCTTTCTCCTTTCTGACATGCCTGGTGGACACAGCCCCATGAGATAAAAGGCTGGGGCAGTCCAACCCTGCTCCATCTGCTAATCACTTGGATAACAAATCTATACTCACCATCTGCAGCTAACACTGCCACTGCTGTCATTTCTTCTCTAGTTTACGCATTTTAGCAAATGCTTCGTAACATCTTGAAACTCTAAGGCCTTTTCCCTCCCTGCTATGAACCCTGCCCCAACACCAAGGCCAATGCTTCTTTGTTTAATTTGCAGGTATCAGGTCCTCGGGGGCCTGAAGACTCCACGTCCCCTTCATTGTTATGATTCTGGCCCCCACCAATCACAGGCGACAATTCAGAGGCTCAGGTGGAAATCTCTGCCATTGATTTCCAAGGTCACTTCCAATTTTAAAATCTTATAACTCTGAACCCTCACATGGCTTTTAACCCTATCACCTTACCTCTCCAGATAGTTTGGATATTTTTATACAATGAATAAGGCCAGAGAGGGACATGTTGCCAGATGTACTCTACCATACACATTTATTGAATGAACGAATGAATGAATGGTGAAAAAATTATTTGGAAAAGTGAAAAAATATCTGTTCTATACTAAAAATTGCCTGTCACATTGCAAGGGGGACAAATCCAAAGGAAGGACTTTTTGCTGAGTAGGATGACAGGGAGGAACAGCCCAGAGAGCGTTATCATGAAATAAGAGAGTCAGGTTCCAGCTGCTGCATGCAGGACCCAGTCATCTGGGGGGTGGGGAAGGGCAGAGGGGGACAAGGCAGCCAAAGAAGAAATGCAAGTGGCAGGTGCAGAGGCAGAGACCCCAGGGGGCATGTCCACTAACTGTGGCTGTGTGTTTTGCAGTGTGACCACCTCACTTCTCTCCATGGGATCTTCAGTAA